AAAAGTTTGATTATAATAATATAATACATTCTTCTATACAACAAACACCTTTTTTTTGTCAATTATGGTTACAATCTACAACTTGATACTTTTGACTTTTCAAAAATTGATAATCTTATGGCAAAAGATTTGGCAAATCGTTTGTCAGAGCTACATACAATAATGAAGGTGCAATTAAAAGAAGCTCAAGAACAACAAAAGATCAATGCAAATGCCTATCAAAAAAATAACCACAATTCAATGTACATAATAATGTATGGTTGCTTCATTATAATATCAAGACTACTCATCCTTGTAATAAGTTGGACTATTGCAAGCTTGGACCTTTTCCTATTTGTGGACAAATCAATCGAGCTGCTTATTGATCATATCTATCGGAGGCAATGAAGATCCATCATATCTTTCACATGTCTCTTCTTGAACCATACAAGACTATGAACATACCAAGAAGAAGAAAAGCTCCACCTCCTCCTATAAAAGTAGACAATAATGAAGAATTTGAAGTAGAAAAAGTTCTAGATTCAAGGCGGCACTCAAATAAATTGGAATATCTTGTCTATTGACATGAATATGATATTAGTAAATATACATGGGAGTTAGTAAAAAATCTTACAAATATAGTAAAGGTGGTGGAGGCTTTTCATCGACAACATCCATCTAAATTAAGATAAAGAATAGTAAGTCTTTGTTATAAAAGAAACAAGATCCAGGGAAGATTACATTCTATCTTTTATCTTTCTTTTGTGTATTTGTGAGGCTCATGAGATGGAAAACCAATAACCAACAGATTCAACTCAAGAGCTTTCATTTATAGACTTACCAAACAAGACATTGTGATTGTCACAACCTTCAAGATGACAAAATCGAGATGAAGATCATAAAGAATGACATATCCTTCCTTGAATAAACAACAAAATATAACGTATTTGATATCAGGACCTTGGAAGAGACTCTTGATGTTTGGTGATTTTATTAGAGGTAGGAACAATACTTGAAAATATTCCAAATATTTTATTTGAAGGCAGTTATGAAGGCCTCAACAGTGACCAAATAACAAGGTGGTCTTTTTATCTTAATATAGGATACTATCGATGGTTGAGAGGGCCTATCAACTATCTTCAAAGAGAACAAAGATTGGAGTATGTGGCAAATACAATTTGCCACATCATGGATTTTCTCAACATATGAAGGTCATTCTTTGTAAAACTTGTCTTTAGAAGAAAAAATATTGTCACGGACATACATTTATAAACTAATAATTACTTATATGATTTAAATAAAAGTAATTAAAAATAAGTTAATTCTATAATATCTTCTATAAAAGCTTCCTAGAAGCTTTATAGATATTAGTTTGATTTTATAGGTATCTTTAATTGACTTTTTAGTTTAAAAACGTAGTCAACAAGTTGGCTATGTACCACACATGTTGGTAGCTTGAAGAATAAGCTAATTATGTAGCCCACATGTAGAAAACTTGCCTTGTAAACTAAAGCATGTGTCTTGCAAAGTCAACACATATTAGAGATCCTATAGAACATCGCCACGTAGTTCCTAGTTAGATAGTATATATAGAGGCAAGAATGAAGCCTTTTTCATTCTTGTCAACTCCTTTCTTGCTTCTAATCTAGATTTAAGAGTCTCTACTTTCCTTGTATTTTGCTAATAGCCATTTTAGTTTCTTTTTAATATACATACTACTTTATTGTTATTTTGTCACTTTTCTTTTAACACAAATTTTTCAGATTTATGTATCTTCTTCCAATTCATGTCCTTTACATCTAATTAATAAAATTTTCAAAATTATAGAAATACTCATTGATTTTTAAAGTCTAATTTCTATGATCTTAATCAAATTAAATTTCAATAATCTTTGATTCAATCTTTTAATTAATCTTAAATTTACAAAATACATTTAAAACTAGTAGATTCATAATCTTTCAAATTTTTACTTATTAATTTGCTAAAATATTTATAAAATTTTCTAAAATATAAAAACTTTGAAATATTAAAAAATTTTGAATTATCTAAAACAATCTTGACTTTACAAAACTCTTACAAAGTCAATATCCACCCATTTACTTCTAACTAATGCTCTCACAAATCTTATTGAAATAGGACCAGTTTAACTCAAGTATTCAAGGCCCTTTTAATCCACAATAATATAAAATATCATCACAAGGTAGGATAAACTAGACCAGACCAAAACTAGCAAAACCAAATAGAATGGGATACAAAAGATAAAACTGAACAACTAGAATTAAGACAAAACAAACAAAGCAAGAAGATACAAAATCCAATTGTATTAAGAAAAAAGATTTGAAGCCATACCTGACCAGATGCCTCAAAAGGCCCTAACTAGTCCTATTTATACTTAGTTCTACCACCCTAGATTTTCTAGAATGTTCCTAGATCATAGATCCCACTTAAATAACTACCTTAAACTCTTTCTAGAAGGTTCCATAGTAGGCTCCACTTAGATAACTACCTTATTTTTTTTAGTAGGTTCTATGGTAGGCTCTACCTAAATAATCGCCCTAAATTCTTTCTAGAATGTTCTATAGTAGGTTCCACCTAAATAACCACCTTTAATTCTTTCTAGAATTAAGTAGAATATTTATTTATTTATTTATTTATAAAAGACTACATTAATACTAATTATTTTTATTGTCTCTTTATTTTATTTTTTTAATATATTTTAAAATAATTTTCTAATATATTTTATAATTAAATCTTTTTTTGTATAATTTATATTTTTTCTCTAATCCAATAGTTTTATTATAACACAACAAAGTTAGACCACTTCTTAATTATAAAATTTAATTAATTCTATTAGTATTTTTATAAAAATATGTTTTATTTAAAGTTTTATATGCTTAATCTTTTATCATAGTCACAATATAAGTTACATCTCACATGTTATCTACTAATATGATTTTAAAACCAAAAATTCTTACTAAAGTTTTAACTTTAGTACTATTATTGCCTATAAATTGATAAGCCATGACAACTCAAAAATAAACATTTCAACTTATTTTTTACTTTAAAGAATAGTAGAAAAAATAAATCATAAGATATTAGGGACATAATAAAAGTTTGAAATCTTTGGCACAAGCATTCAAAATAAGCACAATAAATAATTTATTTTTCTATTTTTTACATTTTTTACATTCTTAAATTGTACATATTAGAATGATACTTTTAAAATACGTTGATAGTCTTATATATATATATATATTTTAATCTTTACTTAATTACTTATTTATCCAAAAAAAATTATAAATTTTGAATTCATAGTATAGAAACTTATACATAGCTTTGTTTTATTTATAAAATTTTACATCTTCAATATGAATTTAGATACTATCTTTGTAATAAAATTAACTTTTAAAAATATTTTTAATATAAATCTTCTTTATATGTATTAAATGCCATATTTGCCTTATTATTCCTTTTTAGTCCTTTAATAATGATCCAAGTACACTATTTAAAAAAAAAATAACATTTAGTAGTCTAATTTCATAAAAATAATTAATAGTATTTTACTAAAAGCCTCTTAATATCCTTATAGTCCATAAGCTGATAATTATAATTGTTTTATACATATTCTACACTAATCTTCTATAATAACCAAACTACTTTCAAACTCTTTTGAAATATGAATCAAAAATAAGAAAAAATTCTTTAAAATTTATATTTAGTTTTTTGTATTTGAATAGATCTTTTTTTCTTATTTAATTTTAATTTTAATTTTATTCTTTTATTATTTCTATTATAATCTCTACCACCAAATCTTGAAATTTTGCAATCAAAACAATTATTAATAATACTCTTTTTTTTATTTACTATATATCTATACATACATACATACATAAAAAAATGCTATTGTGGTATTGCAAAAGTTAAAATAACTTTGAAATAAATATATATATATATATATATATATATATATATATGTATATATATATGTATATATATATATATATGTATATATATATATATGTATATATACTTACATATATATATAAAAAAACTTTATTAAATATTTATGTTATTAGAAGTCTTTATATTTTGTTTACTTTTAGATCTAATTTATTATTGATTGTTATAAAATAAATTATTAAATTATTAAATTATATTATCCATTTAAATTACATATAACAAATTAATTTTATATTTGAAAATTCTAATTAATTGGAAAAGTAATAAATTAATCTCAGTTATTAACACCAATTTAAAATTTTGTTTTTAATATTATGTGATTTTTTTATCTTATTTATATGTTTATATTTTAAATTACATAATACATGTGTTTCACTGATACAAAAAAAAATGATGTAAATTTGGAGAGTTATAATTTTAAATCAATATAATTAAAAATAATAATTATTAATATAATTGTATTTTTGTGTTGTTCCAAAATAATTTGCAATTCATATTTCTGTTGTGTTTAAATTTTTTGTGGTATACTAATCAGTAGATTGTGTCATTTACATAATTTTGAAAACAATTATTAACACTTGTGTAATTTTTTATTATTTTAATATTTTTATACTTCAATGATGGTGTGTTTGAAATGCAGTTTGAGTTGTTTAAGCCAGAAACATGCTAAGGCTTACAAGCCCATTTAAAAGACATGTAAACATGTATAATGACTGAAAAAAATAAGATGTTTACATGGAGGTACATATAAACATGTTGTTTTTCTCTTGTCTTCTATAGGTGTGTTATGTGTAAACATGCGATTAACTTCATCTATTCCCCAGCAATTGGCTGCTGGACACTTTTTCGAAACAGTTTTCTTCGACAACTATTGACGCCCGGTGATTGACGACCACAACTATGGAGTCCTTTATTATTATTATTATTATTATTTCACTGTTGTGGATATTCGGTTGCTTTAGTCAATGGCCTAGAAGATCGAGCTTCTTGGTCTCTCACACGAAAAGCCTAGGCCGCCAATCTGTGAGGGTAGGTCAGTCATCAGCTCTAGCATAAGTAGCATACACAATGTGGGGCCTGGCAGTGCTAACGAACCTGTGTGCATCAGTTGGGTCATTCTCCTAGCCTTCAACCGAAGTGAGAAAAAACTGGGCTACGATGGGTCACTCTACAGAGAAATCTAAAGGGACAGTCTGCGTCACAGGAGCAACGGGGTTTGTGGCCTCCTGGCTCATCAAGTGTCTGCTTCAGGATGGATATCGTGTTCGTGGAGCTGTGAGAGATCCTGGTAATAGCTCAGAACATTTTGTCATGCAGCAATGCAGTGGGAAACATCCTGCCATACATAGTTTGCAGATGAGTAATCATACCACTAGGAAGGTTTGCGAAACATTGTTGCCTCTGAAACTGAGCCTTGAGTGGGACAATGCTCTGGAACTGGATCAGAGAATTATGAGAAGGCAGCTCATCTATGGGCACTGTCGGGGGCGAAGGAGAGGCTGCAGTTGGTGAAAGGGGACTTGCTCGTGGAAGGGAGCTACGATGCAGCTGTGGCAGGGTGCGAGGGTGTGTTTCACACTGCGGCTGCTCTGGTTCGCATCAAATCTGATCCCAAGGTACAGTCTATCGATCGACCCGTTCAATGTACGTTGTTCGATCCACTTGCGAACATTCTGTGATAATTATGTCCCACAGAGTAAAGCATGGGCAGGCTAAACACGTTCACCAGAGAGCTGTCGGACATGTGAGTTGCGTCCCCGTATATCCACAAGACATTTTGGTTTTAACAGATTGTAAAATTAAGCAGGCTGAGATGCTTGATCCCACTATTTTGGGCACATTAAATGTACTGCACTCATGTGCCAAGTCAACCACCTTGAAGCGCGTGGTGCTTACTTCGTCCACTGCTGCTGTTCGATTCCGTGACGACCTGGAGCAGCCGGGTGCTGTCACTTATCTGGACGAGTACTCTTGGAGTAGCATCTTTTTCTGCACCAAGTATCAGGTCATCCTTTCGACCTGTTGTTGAGACCCTGAAATGGTCGCATCCTCAGTTGATCCTAAACCGTGATGTCCAACTAGTTGTAAGAAGATCGTGCTATCTGCGCAGATTTGGTACTCGTTAGCAAAAATACTATCAGAGCAGGAGGCTTGGAAGTTCGCATTTCTTCACTCCATCGACTTGGTGGTGGTACTGCCAAGTTTCGTAATTGGACCCTGTTTACCTTATCCGCTGTCGAAAACGGCGCAAGATATCTGCGACCTGCTCAATGGTTTGTGTATAGACACTCCAGCTCATTCATTTCTCCTATATATATATATATACACACACACATAGATATAGTTAAAGTCTTGTCCGCGTTCTCTTCACAAGAAAGCATTCATCACAAGTGCTGCAGGAGGCAGGAACTTTGGAATTCATGGGCGAATGGGCTATGTCCACGTTGATGATGTTGCACGAGCCCACATTTTAGTCTATGAAACGCCATCTGCACAAGGACGATATATATGTTCTGCACAAGAAGCCACCCCGCAGGAATTGGTTCAGTATTTGGCTGATCGTTATCCACACCTTCAAATTTCAACCAAGTAAGCATTTCTACTAACCAGTCTGAAGTAAGCCATCCAATATCTGCTTAAGGCGTGCTACATCACGGGTCCTCACTTTATATGAATGATGTATGTCAGATTCAATGATGAACTCCCCAAAATGCCCTATTACAAGCTAAACACCACTAAACTGCAACGCCTTGGTCTAAACTGCAAGCCTTTGGACGTCATGTTTGACGACTGCATTTCATTCTTGGAGGAAAAGGGTCTCCTCAAGAGAAAACCAGAGAAAACGCCGACATCGTCATCTACACCTGATGAGCATTCGAAGGATAGTGTGCTTCAGAATGTTTGACTGGCTATTTAAGATTCTGAATTGGAAAACCACTGTTCAGCTGGTTTTTGACGTAGTCGCAGTCCCAAGGGACGACCGTGGAAGATTATTCACAGGGCTCAGAATAGCTCCAAGAAGGTTATACCACCTTACTATCCATTTTGTGCAAAGATACTGTGCAAAAACATAACGAGGTCGAAAATGTAAGATCGAAGGAAATCTAAGAGTGTTTGCACGAAAGCACTGCTGACCAAGTGGTTTAGGATTATGAACAGCATTAATAAACTTTAACTTTTGGATCCTTCTCAAGTTAGCCTCCTGGTGGTTACCGACCAATGCCTGTCTTTCACGTTACATTTCAAAAATCGCAGCTTACTCTGCCTGTTGTGTAATACCAGCTTGCCATGACCAAAAACTCAACGTCAGGTTCATTTCGTCTTGTTCCGAATGAAGGATTGGTTATACCGGTGTCCACTAGATATCCTTCACAGAAAATTCTGTTAATTTAGAACCATTAAATGACGTCTCAACCAAGGATGCGATTTCGCATGGATGGATTTATGAAACTGCACAGCTTGAGTGGGTACATGTGAAGAGTAAACTTGAAAGAATTGCTTGAAATAAATCCAAAGGGATTTCCTTGTGCATGTGATGGACAGTTCGAATCATTGGAGACAGGTCAAAGGAGTATTTCAGGCCTCAGGCAAGTTAGATCTCGCGCACCAAATATCAAAACAGTAGCAATGCTTGGAATACAGCATCCATAGTCAAGATCCATCACCACCACTTTGCTCGTTGGGTGACCATAGCTGTTCTCCTCATGCACAGAAGAAAACAAACCCACCATGCTCCAAAACGGTGCTGAATAATTCCACGATCCTGAAATACGTGTATCTAAAAAATTGTGACTGTTTTTCTCTAAATCAGTCGAATCTGACACACATGTAGTTGCCTATAATTTGAGCGCCTGTAACCATGCCAAAAAGGGAGTGGTCACTTGCTTAAGTGCTTTGAGTCAAAATGAGAGCCACAGCAGGATGGAATAGGTACCCAGGTGCTACCAGGTACTGCCTTAACAGAAAACCCTAATGGCTTCTTGTTACCAGAACACTTTAAGGTGTGGATGACCAACAAATAAAATAATGATTTGAAACATTTTGCAATGAATCACACATCTCATCTCCTCTTTAGTTCAAATTTTCAAAGTGATTGATAACTTGAATCATTTGTAGCAAGCAAATCTCCTAAGTTAACTTTTTGGTCACTACTCTTTCTTCACAATTCTATACTTCATTACTCTTTAGTGCATATCTCCTAAACCAAATGTCACAATACTTTAAAACTTTGTGATTTTTTTCTTGTCTTGCCAATACAACTACACTCCAATTCTTATAACCATAACTCTTATAGATACCAAGTTCTAATCTCTTGAAGTTGTTGCCTTTGACTAATAAACTTAAAACATTGCATATACTTAAAATAATATATACATGTCTAGCTTCCAATGGATTTAGAAGCTTGACATATTTGAAGAAATTAGGCATGAATAAATGAGAGACTTTGGAAGAGTTTCCAAGTAAAATGCCATATTTAATTGCAATGGAAGAATTAGATTTTTCAAAGTATAGAAATTTGAAGAAGTTTCCAAAGGGGTTTAGAACCTTGACATATTTGAATGAATGCATATGTAATAATGTGTATGCAATAAAATGGTATATGCAACATATATACAATAAAAACATGTATGCAATGTGTATGTAATAAAATGGTTGAGTATTGAAAGTGCAATAAAGATTATTCCTATATTCAATAATTTTGATAAGTCTAAAAAAGCTATTTTGGTGAAGTTGGAATTTTGGATGGATTAAGTCATTCAAATATCATTAAATTATTTTGTTGCAATTTTTCGATTTTTTTTTTTGAATTGGTCATAAAATAAGAAAAGATGACTTTACTTAATAGGTTAGAAAAAGTATTACTTTTAAAAGAAATTGCAATAAATATAATGCTGTAAATTACAAGTAGAATATATTACATGTATAACATAAAGGTAGTACATTAAAACCTAAAACTTAATAATATTATTATAAATTCAATGGATATCACAAAAGTGGTTGATTTAGAATTTGTATGTGTGAAATTGTTTGATTTTGGTTTTTCAAAGAATGAAGTAAAAATACTCCACAAATATGCACATGAAGAGAAAATATAGATATCTTTAGATATATGGTATCTGAGGCCATAAAAAGAAAAAAAAAGAAAAAAAATCCTTGTAAGAAGTAGATTCTTCAAAAGTTGATGAATTTAATTTTAGCATGTTATGTAGTGAGATTATTCCAAGTTCAAAACCTTCTAATAATGTATACCTTTAAAGTGCTTATCAATAAACTATAGAGAGAAGTGAAAGGCCGAATTTGCTATAATCTTATTTAAAAGAATTAAAATTATTAAAAAAAATTATTAATTATTAGATCCATCAAAGATATTTATATTCCTTGAGATTTATACAAGATCGAAAATATTAAAGAAAATATTGTTCTAAGGTTCTTAGAAATTGGGACCTCAAAGTTAAAGAATATACACCATGGAGTTACATTATTTTAGATTCAAAATTACATCATTTCAAATGATGGACTTATGATGGATCCTAAGAAAATTCAAACTATTATAGATTGAAAGATCCCAAAAACGGTAAGAGATGTCCAATGCTTTTTAGGATTTGCTAACTACTATCGGATCTTCATTAAAGACTTCTTTCAAGTTGCAGCTCCACTTACACATTTGATTTGTAAAGACAAACTTCAATGGAATCAAGAAGCGGAAGTAGTATTTGAAGCTTTGAAGACAACCTTTGTTTTTGCACCAATCTTATATCGCATCGACTTTTTTGAGCCATTTTTTATGGAAACAAATGCATCAAACTTTGCTTTGAGTGCCGTATTATATCAAATGGGAACAGATGATAAACTTCATCTAATAGCTTTTCATTCCAGAAAATTTTTAGCAACTGATATCAACTACAAGATCCATGACAAAGAACTTCTTACAATCATGGATTCGTTTCAAGAATGGCACCATTGTCTAGAAGGTGCTTCTAGTCTAATTACCATGTATATGAATCTCAAGAATCTTAAATATTTTATGTTAGCATGTGTTTTGAATCATCACCAAGCCTATTGGAGTATGTCTTTGTTAAGATTCGAATTCAAGATCACTTATCAACTAGAAAAGCAATAAAGTTTGTAAGATGCACTTTCTACACGATTTTACCTTGCACCAAAGAAAGGAGATGCTACTTTTGATCAATAATGGATAATTTTCTTGAAGCCAAAGCAACTTTATCTTCAAGCAATGAAAACAACACTAACTATTGATTCAACTTTCATTAAGCAAGTTCAGCCAAGTATGTCTTCTGATCTTCTTATTCGTGATATTAAGAAAAATCCTTCAAAGTCTCATGATACTTCCAAGTTTGAATTTAAGAACAATCTACTATATTTTGAGGGACACCTATATGTTCTAGAAGGTGAAGCTCAATTACATATTTTTCAAGCTTGTCATGACTTTCCAGCAGCAAGATATTTTGGGTATAATAAAACTTTGGAACTAATATCCAAAGACTTTTGGTGGCCACAAATGTGAAAAGCAGTCAAAGATTTTGTACAATCTTGTGATGTTTGCTCAAGATAAAAAACTCCTCGTCATCGACCTTATGGACTTCTTCAGCCATTACTCATCCTAGAATAACCATAGTCTTTTGTTTCTATGGATTTCATCACGGATCTTCTAATCTTATGACTCTATATTTGTAATGGTAGATTTTTTTATCAAGATGGCACATTTTGTAATATGTACAAAATCTATCTCACGTGAAGAAATACCTAAGCTCTTTCTTGACAACATCTATCGCTATCATGGATTATCCAAGGATATTATATCCGATAGGAGAAATCAATTTGTATCAAGATTTTGGCAGACTCTTTTTAAGATTCTAAAAGTAGATATAAAATAATCTTTGACATTCCATCCTCAAACTGATGGATAAATAGAGCGTGTTAATCAAATTTTGGAGTAATATGTAAGATGTACCATCAACTACCAACAAGATCATTGAAAAATTCTTTTGCCATTGGCAGAGTTTGTTTATAATAACATGATACATTCTTCTATAAAACAAACACCTTTCTTTGTCAATTATGGTTATCATCCATGACTTGATACTTTTAACTTTTTAAAAGTTGATAATCCTGCAGCAAAAGATTTGGCAATTCATTTGTCAAAGCTATATGCAATGATAAAGGCGTAATTAAAAGAAGCTGAAGAACAACAAAAGGTCAATGCGCATGTCTATTGAAATGAACAACTACCATTCCACATGGGTGACAAGATATGGTTACTTCATCGCAATATCAAGACCACTCGTTTTTATAACAAGTTGGACTATTGAAGGCTTGGATCATTTTCTATTTCTACACAAATCAATCCAGTTGTATATCGTTTACACTTATCAAAGTCAATAAAAATCCATCTAAAATTCCTCATGTCTCTTCTTGAACCATACAAGATAGTGGACATACCAAGAAGAAGGTAAGTTCCACCTCCTCCTATAGAAGTGGACAATAATAAAGAGTTCGAAGTGGAAGAAGTCTTAGATTCAAGACAGTACCAAAATAAATTAGAATATCTTGTCCATTGGCATGGATATGATATTAGTGAACACACATAAGAGCTAGTAAAGAATCTTGCAAATGCAGCAAAGGTGGTGGAGGCTTTTCATCCATGACATCCATCAAAATCAAAATCAAAATCTTCTTTATTAAAGAAACAAGATCTAGATAAGATAACATTCTACTTTTAATCTTTGTCTGTAGCTTCTTTGTAGTTGTGACACTGAGGAGATGAAGAACCAACAACCAATGGATTTGACTCAAGAGCCTTCATTTGTTAGCCTCCCAGATGAGACATTACGATTGTCACAACCTTCAAGACAACGCAATGAAGATGAAGATCTTCAAGGATGACATGTTCTTTCTCAAATAGATGGTGAGATACAATGCGTTTGGTATCATGACCTTGGAAGGGACTCCCGATGTTTGGTGATTTTACTAGAGGTAGGAACAATTTTTGACGGTGTTCCAAATGTTTTATTTGAAGGAAGTTATGAAGGCCTCAACAACAATCAAATAACTGGGTGGTCTTCCTACCCTAGTATGAGACACTATCGATGGTTGACAGGCCCTATCAATCATCTTTGAAGACAACAAAGATTAGAGTATGTGGCAAATATAATTCGTCACATCATAGATTTCCTCA